AATACCTTCCGCGTCTCCTATCGGTGGGCGTGTACACGGCATTGATTTTTGTAACAGGGAGATGGAAGAAGAGGCTTGGTCGGTCCTCTTACTGCAAATTTGGGGCACTGCGCGGTCAAGCTAATGTGACACCAGATAGGAGTGATGTGTTTAGTACTATTTTTATCAGTTTAATACCTTCCGAGTTTCCTATCAGTGGATGTGTACACGGCATTGATTTTTATCTAAGCCGTAAACTTTTGCATAGCGAAGTAGATTCACTGCCATTGAAAAGGAGTGCATGGCGGTGGTGTGGGCCCTCAAAAAGCTGCAACCTACTTGTATGGACAACCGTTTACCTTACTCACAGATCACAACAAGTTTGGGGCACTGCGCGTGCAATCTAATGTGCCACCAGATAGGAGTGGTGTGTTTAGTACTATTGTTATCAGTTTAATACCCAGCTGGCGTCTCCTATCCAGTGGGCGTGTGCGGCGTGATTTTTATCTAGAAGCGTAAGCATAAGCGGCCAGATACACTGCCATTGAAAAGGAGTGCATGGGGGTGGTGTGGGCCCTCAAAAAGCTGCAACCTTACTTGTATGGACAACCGTTTACCTTACTCACAGATCACAACAAATTTGGGGCACTGCGCGTGCAATCTAATGTGCCACCAGATAGGAGTGGTGTGTTTAGTACTATTTTTATCAGTTTAATACCTTCCGCGTCTCCTATCAGTGGACGTGTACACGGCATTGATTTTTATCTAAGCCGTAAACTTTTGCATAGCAAAGTAGATTCACTGCCATTGAAAAGGAGTGCATGGCGGTGGTGTGGGCCCTCAAAAAGCTGCAACCTACTTGTATGGACAACCGTTTACCTTACTCACAGATCACAACAAATGTGGGGCACTGCCCGTGCAATCTAATGTACCACCAGATAGGAGTGGTGTGTTTAGTACTATTTTTATCAGTTTAATATCTTCCGCGTCTCCTATCAGTGGACGTGTACACGGCATTGATTTTTGTAACAGGGAGGTGGAAGAAGAGGCTTGGTCGGTCCTCTTACTGCAAATTTGGGGCACTGCGCGGTCAAGCTAATGTGACACCAGATAGGAGTGGTGTGTTTAGTACTATTTTTTATCAGTTTAATACCTTCAGCGTCTCCTATCAGTGGACGTGTACACGGCATTGATTTTTGTAACAGGGAGATGGAAGAAGAGGCTTGGTCGGTCCTCTTACTGCAAATTTGGGGCACTGCGCGGTCAAGCTAATGTGACACCAGATAGGAGTGGTGTGTTTAGTACTATTTTTATCAGTTTAATACCTTCCGCGTCTCCTATCAGTGGACGTGTACACGGCATTGATTTTTATCTAAGCCGTAAACTTTTGCATAGCGAAGTAGATTCACTGCCATTGAAAAGGAGTGCATGGCGGTGGTGTGGGCCCTCAAAAAGCTGCAACCTACTTGTATGTACAACCGTTTACCTTACTCACAGATCACAACAAATTTGGGGCACTGCGCGTGCAATCTAATGTACCACCAGATAGGAGTGGTGTGTTTAGTACTATTTTTATCAGTTTAATACCTTCCGCGTCTCCTATCAGTGGACGTGTACACGGCATTGATTTGTATCTAAGCCGTAAACTTTTGCATAGCGAAGTAGATTCACTGCCATTGAAAAGGAGTGCATGGCGGTGGTGTGGGCCCTCAAAAAGCTGCAACCTACTTGTATGGACAACCTTCAATCTATAACAGTGAAAAAAGTTTTTTGTTTTTAAATCCAAGCTATTGTGACACCAGTGAGTGAGTGGTGGCACTGGGCACAGTATCCACTGTGAGCCTGACACACCCGCTTTGAGACAACTAACTGCTATTCAATCTATAATTGATGTTTGTTTCACAGGCAGAAAGTGCCCTAAAACATGGCGGCTTGAACCTAGTTGGTGGCGGATCAGTCACGCAAGTCAACAGGCATTCAGAGCTAAAATACAGCAGCGTGTGGACCATTTTTAGCCCAAGGCAGCTCATCTCATCAGGCCTTTTTTAATCTAATGTATCGCCCAGTGTCAGTCCCTTCGGGATCCATCCCTCATTCATCTTAATAAAGGTGAGGTAATCTAGACTTTTTTGACCTAGGCGACTTCTCTTCTCAGTGACAATACCTCCTGCTGCACTGAAGGTCCTTTCTGACAGGACACTTGAAGCGGGGCAGGCCAGAAGTTCTATCGCAAATTGGGATAGCTCAGGCCACAGGTCAAGCCTGCACACCCAGTAGTCAAGGGGTTCATCGCTCCTCAGAGTGTCGATATCTGCAGTTAAGGCGAGGTAGTCTGCTACCTGTCGGTCGAGTCGCTCTCTGAGGGTGGATCCCGAAGGGCTGTGGCGATGCGTAGGACTTAAAAAGGTCCGCATGTCCTCCATCAACAACACGTCTCTAAAGCGTCCTGTCCTTGCCGGCGTGGTCATGGGAGGAGGAGGATGACTTCCACCTCTCCCCCTGTTAGATTCCCGTTGTGCTGTGACATCACCCTTATACGCTGTGTAAAGCATACTTTTCAATTTATTTTGCAAATGCTGCATCCTTTCATACTTGTTGTAATTCGGTAACATTTCCGCCACTTTCTGCTTATACCGGGGGTCTAGTAGCGTGGACACCCAGTACAGGTCGTTCTCCTTCAGCCTTTTTATACGAGGGTCCCTCAACAGGCACGACAGCATGAAAGACCCCATTTGCACAAGGTTGGATGCCGAGCTACTCATTTCCCGTTCCTCCTCCTCACTGATGTCAATGAAGGTATTTTCTTCCCCCCAGCCACGTACAACACCACAGGTACCAGATAGGTGACAACGAGCACCCTGGGATAATAGTAGATAAGAGGAGTGAGACAGCGCTTAATAACTATAGGCAGCAACCTTAAAAAGGGAATCCCTCAGACCCTTATAAAACGAGATAAAACAAAAAGCAATAAAAGGCTGCGCACACTAAATAAAATCCAATAAAAGGAAAAACAGTCCAAATGGTATATTCTTATATTCTTATAGGTGTCCTTGGTCTTCTATTTTTGTGGTGGTTTCACTTGTTATGAAAAATAAAAAGAGGGAAAAAGGACATCCAATGGTGTAGTATGTACGAAATCAAATATAGACGTAAAAAATAATAGTATAAAACTCACATTTACCAGAGCTAATGTCCAGCTCTGGAGTAAAGCGCGTACATCGGTTTGATCCCTGCTTATGGGATATAAGGCAGGTTCCTCTCCGTGATTGGTGTCCAATTCTCGGGATAAAACAAACAGCCAATAGTGCTCACTGAATGACAGATAATAATAAAATAATAAAAGAAATGTACTTACAAAGTAAGAGCAGACCCACTGCTCTTTGATGATAGCTTGGGTGGATTGATCCCCACCTTTGGATTTCTTTGGGTACAGGAAACTTCCAGGAATTTTTTAGTTTTTTTTTAAAACCAATAAAAATAATTAAAATTATTATAAAAAGGCCAGGGTAATAAAAAGGAGGATATGTGTCTATAAAAAAGATAATTGGCACAAACAAATGACCAAAAATACTTTAATATATATATAAAAACACAATATTCAATTATCCATAACGCGTTTCGTCACAAAAGGACTTTTTCAAATGGAGTAACATAGTTTACCTGGCACATAGAGGTTATATAAGAGCATAATTAATTGAATTTTGGCGCCAAAACTTGATTCAACCAATCAGAATTGAAAACATATTCTTGGCATTTAAAATACAAATTAACTTATTATGCACATACTTTATAGTGATACATCTCATTTAAAATATATTTTGAGTTAAAACGAAGGTGAGAAATATGATGTTAAAAAAATAATAAGAAAACACTGGCACATACTCAAACATGATGAGATACTCAAATCAATCATACCTACTCATCCAAATATTGTTTTTAGAGGAGCACCTAATTTTAAATCTATTTTAACTACAAATTTTACAAAAAAATCACCTTTAAAAAACGTATCATTCTTTCCTCAGACAAAAGGTTTTTTTAAATGTAAACAATGCATTGTATGTAAAACTGTAGACCATGCTATTTCATCAAAAACCACAAAATTTATGTCAAACCAAACTAAAAAAGTGTATGATATTCATGATTTCATAAGCTGCCATACGAAAAATGTTATCTATCTGCTCGAATGCCCATGTGGCCTCCAATATGTGGGGATGACCACAAGGTGCCTAAAGATAAGATTGAGCGAACATTGCAGAAATATTAAAAATGGATACTTAAATCATACAGTATCCAAACATTTTATTATGCACAATAAAGATCCCCGTTTATTAAAATGTATCGGTATTAAAAAATGTTCTACCTCTTGGCGAGGAGGTGACATAAAAAAGCTACTTGGAAAAATAGAGATGGAATGGGTGTATAAACTTCAGACTCTTATACCCCATGGCCTAAATGCAGATTTTGATTTACACAATTTTTTATGAACTTTTAAGTCTGTTCCTTTAAATTATGGTTTTAATATAATTTATTCCCATATTATCTTTTCTATTTGCATTGTCTTTTCCTTTTTCTAATATAATATGAATTGTTTTAATATTTGCATTTATAATATTGTCGCATTTGATGTTTTCTACTATTAATTCATATGTTGTAAGTGAAACTCCATTTCCCATAAGGTATTTTGGCTATTATTGCCAAAAGTCATGTGACCATTTTAAAATGCTTAATTTCTGTATCCTTAAAATATGGTTTTAATTTAATTTATTTCTATATTCTTATATTACCCTTTCCATTTGCATTGCCTTTTTTTTTATATAATATGGATTTGTTTTAATATTTTTATGTAAAATATTGCATTGGTGTTTCCTACTATCAATCCACATGTTGCAAGTGAAACTTCATTTCCCATAAGGTATTTCGG